TTAATGAACACAGCAGATGCAAGTGCAATGTCGGCACACTTTCATCTGATGATGCGGCGCTTGATTGTGATTGTTTCTGAGGCGAGGATGTAATAAAAGTTGGTACGAAATTTAATTTCAGCTCATAGCGTGACACATTCTTGGTAATTAATGATGCAAACTGCAAATCCCCTCCTTTTTTAATTACAGAAAGGCTCGTCTTTCCTCTGAGTGTCACAGCCAGAGTTTAATGAAACGTGCATATTTCAGATTAAATATCTCGCAGTATAATCAGCGTTAATATCTCAGAGTTATTATCATATTAATTTTATTGCCCCACCCGCTCCGTATAATCTTAATGTCACTCTGGCGTGCGCTCTCAAGACTGACTCTAATTGCAATAATTCTCGTCTCGCGAAAGAGATAAATTTTTGATTTAACTCTGCGCGACACGCGGCGTCGCAATTAAAAATTCCTTAATGGAATTTGATGAAACAAAAAAGTGACATTTTATAAATTCAAAAGTTATTAATGATCAGGCACGCGTGCTGAGCTCTTAGCCAGCAGAATGTGAAGTAATTGCGCCATCAATTTCCGACCGCCGTTGTTTTCAGAAACGCATGACTGCGGATTTGATAAATTTTTCGTTTCCAACTTGAATAACGGACGGTTTTGTTTGGCAATAAATTTGATCCTGTGTGCGTGAAATTTCATGCTTTTCAATCGGCCGCATCCAATGCGCCACTCATGCACGTAAATTCGTGTTTTATGGGCCAAAGAGAGAGGCCAAGTGCTTGCATTCACTCCAATTAATTAACCGCGTCCATTCACAGCATAATTCCAGGGCGTGCGTGTAATTTGAGAGGCCATCATTCGGTGAGTTGCGTTCGGTGCGCTATTTGCTTTTCCGCTCATTAGACTTGGTCACGGAATATGATTTTGAAGGTTGATAACAGAGTATAGAGGAAAAATATTTGTCAATACGGCAAGACAAACAATCGGAACGTGGGTGATTTATGACCCTGAATGTACACAATTTTTCAGCAATGATTTCCCCAGACGAAAGTCAATTGCTCGTTGTATGAGATTGTTTCATCGTAATTGTCTGTTCCGAATTAAACTCATTTTTTATGATGGTAAGAGAAGTTTTCCCCAACTCATTTCGAAGAATAATAAAAATTTTCATGAAAAGGCAAAATTTTTTTTTGTTATTTTCAAAATGGTTGTTGCTAGAAATAATCAGAATGGTCTTGTTGCCTGGGTATATCTATTCATGTCTCCTTTCAGAAAAAAAATAAGCATTTAAACTAGTTTTGTCTTCCTTAGACATTAATTGTAAAGATTGTATTTGTCTTGAATTTCACAAATCGTGCAGATCTGAAATAGTCGGTCATCTAAATTTCAAAGTCAGACAAATATTTTATAAATAATGAAGAGTAATCTAAATTGTCTAGACATTGATCTTCAATTAAAAATTATAATTCCTAAACCCAATCAGATTAAGTCAAACTTTGGCAGCAAGCAATGATTTGATCAAAAAATTTGCGACCCAGCTTCACGTTCCAAAACATAATGGTCTCATAAATTTGCCTGCGAGTAATTTATTTTAGTATATATGCTTGAAATTGGCCGAGGCGTGTGTGTGCGGTACACGCAGTAAATCTCAATTAGTCTCCGGCCGTGGTTCGTTAATGGCATCCTTCATGCATAAATGTCACTCGGTGAATTACTGCCCTCTGATTACAGTTTCCGTTGATGGTGTTGCTGCCGTTCATTTCCAGATTGAAAACTTTTCCAATAGCAAGAAATGTAGGGCAAGAATAATAATTCCCACCAATGTTTGCACGCCAACGAAGAGAAAGGAGGGCTTGTTTGTCTTTCACTCGGCGGAGCAGCCGAGTCGAGAATTGCATTTTAATTCAATCGGCGCGATCCAGACTTTGAATTAACACAAGCTGATTGCGCTCGGGCTCTTATTTCTCTCCACATTCATTTCGGGCAAAGCTCGGAGAGGTGATTTGGCACGCTTCCCGGACCTAGGCGGAAAGATCACCGCACCCGTTCCGCTCTTGTCAACATACACACGGGGCTTTTTCAAAACGGGCTGTTTTTAGTGAGAGCACGGAGGCCATTAAAATAAGCTTGAGAGCAGCGGCGCATCTGGCTCTGGGCAAAAAATCAGAGGTTTTTATTTTTTAAAAGCTTTAAAAAAATTACTCAGGTTTTTGGCACTACGGGGATAAATCTGTTGAGTTTCTTTTACTAATAAAATGCCAAGGTTGGAATTTATGGTTTCTGGCTGGCACTTGCAAATGGTTTATTTTTCCAGTGGGAAATCGTGAATTAGATTGAATAAGAAATCTCCAAAGGGAATAATTTTTATCAAAATCTAGCAGCTGCTATTTATTTTGACTTCAGATGATGAGGAAACTTGGAAAATTATAAGATGGTATGAATCCCTAATAAAATAAAATTAAATGCGGAAATTTGAGGTATCTTTAAATTTGTATTTTTACTTACTGTTGCTTACGCTTGCATATCAACCATTTAGGAGCTTTTTCATCTGAAAATCATTCATGGCTCTCTTGAAGAAATGTTTTTACGATTTAGATAATACCACGATATATTCTATTCTAGTGAATTTAAATTGTTAGTTACTTTGAAACTTGGGCGCTTGCTTGATGAATATTTATTGTATTTTATGTCTGTGTAAAAGTTCAGAAAGCAATATCAAACTCATCGTCAGTCTGATATTAAACAGGAAAAGAAAATACATTAAAAGCAGTCTCTTATCAAGAAGAGAAATTTCAATTCACCAACATGAATTCTTATCTTTATTACTGAATAATTCAAAACATTTTTTTCTAATGGCTTTTGTTTTCAAGCAAAATAATCAAGTTTTAAATAAAATGTGAAAAATACCCAATTGCGAATGATATCATACATATATATTTTCTGTCAGTGTTAAAAAAACTTAGATATTTTTTTCTGCAGAATTAGTTTTTTTTTTGTATTTTAAGGTTGAAATTTTTAATAGAGGAAATAAACAAAATTTAATTATAAAGAATTTTAAATTAATTCATTGATAGAAATTGGTTCTTGAAATTTCGTCATTCATTCTATGTTTGATTATGAAATATGTAGTACCAAAGAGATTTCAAATTTCATGCCCACGCTGATTTATAAAAGCCACAATATCATTAAAACAAACTAAACTACAATATTATTGAAAATTTCATGTATTAAACAGCACAGTTTTCATTAAATGATGCACATTTGAAATAAATGTGGCGCTGGAGAGTCAGTTGTCGGTGAATGTTTGCTTTCATGTTTTCCAAAACGCTGCTGGGAATTATTAACGCCGCCGGCCGAGCTGCCACTGCGCCATTCTAAAATAAATTTTTTCCTCTTTCTGCCACCGCGAGGCACGATGTGCGCATTAATGAACGGGTGCATTAATTCCCGGATGAAACGCTAAAATAAAATTTTGAAAATGTTACACTGGTCGAAATATCAAAGGCCTAATTTCGCCTGAAAATGTGCAGCTCTCGCAGTTATTTAAAGGGCAGACTATTTTTGAAAAACCAATAAAACGGAGCAAAGGGTTTTGCTTGCAGAAGAAGGAGAGAGAGAAGGCAGTGAATCTCGGCGGCCCTTTTGTACGTCTCTCGTGCAAACTGGCCGCCTATCTACTTGTCCGCAGGTAACCGTGTTTAATGGGCCCGCCTGCACGCGCGTAGCTCGTCCCTTCACATATGCGAAAGCAAACAATACACGGGCCCAGTGACGTCACGCTTAATACATATTTGAGTAGTTGCCTGCGCAAAGAACTTTTTCCACCGACAGTCGGCCAGTAGACCTTTCCGGGTGAAACAAAAAAATTCCGTGTGTTTTGCCTACGTACATTTTATCGCGATGGAAATAATAATGTTGTGCGATTACACGTTCCAAACGCACACAACTGTGCACTAGAAACAGGTAATTTTGTATTATTTATCATTCTTTTTGCAGGAAAAAGGAATCGCTTTTGGTCCCACGTGAATAATAAAAAGCGCTATCAAATTCTCCATTAATTCATCTCTGAACTCTCCAAATCTGAAGTAAAATTCAGAATTAATTTATATTCATTTGATATTTCAATGCCCACAAATTCCTAGTTCATCGACAATTTTGTGAGTAAAATTTAATTTATTGAGATACATATTTGTCTGCATCAACGTGTTGAGATATTTCTCTGCATCATGCAAATGTATTTATTTATACAGAAATGTAATTTAAGAAAATACAATTAAATTTGTAGATTGTTGAGAATAGTAAATTTAGCTGCTTATAGTTAGTTTGCTCAAAAAAAATTTATTCCGATATTGGAACTTTGCGAATTACGATTCAAAATTTATTTGTGGAATTAAAAACAAATAATGCTTTACAGATTCTAAAAAATTAGAGAAAAATGGTTAAGGGGCTTTTAAATCTTTGTATAATCATTTTGATAGGAATTTTAAATATTTATTTTTTTAACACAGCAGATATAAATTAATCAAAGTAATTAAAAGTTTTACGCAAATCAGATATAATTTTAAACCAGTTCTTTACATTATATATTCGCAAAGTGCAAACATAGTAACGTTAAAATAAATTTATAAAATAAAATAATAAAATATATAATGATGAATAATAAAGTGTAATTGAAAATCACTCGTTCTATTGATGCTGAAATAATTTTTCAGGAGAATTTTTACAAGCAAAATGTAAGCCTGAGATGAGAATAGTCGCTCTTTTAAACGTATAAATTTCATATTTTTCCTCTAATACTGCAAGTTTTGAGTTTCTACTTAACGTGTAGGCTGGAAATTTTTGTTGCTTTTTTAGCAAAACCAATTTATTAAAAACTAAAAACCAGAACTCAAAATCGTCCACTTTTTTAATTTCGTTTAACTTCGCGGCTGTTGCTGATAAGACTCAACTACAGTGGCCGCGAGGGGACACTAAAATTGAAAGTTTCACGTGTCGCACTACTTGTCACTTCCTGCGCGCGTGAATAATTTATCGTGGGCGACGCTCGAGTTGAACTTTGCGACTGATAGCGGCAAGGGTCACTTGTACTTGGGCGAGCGCGATGGAACGCCGGTGCTGCAGGTTGGTGCTGCTTTTTGCTCTGCTGCTTTCGCCGTCGGCAGGTATGTGGTGAAAGAAATTCGCTCATACGATGTATCAATTCGTGGGCAAAACATTTCTGGCAGACGCCGCGAACATCAAACGTCAACATTTGGCGCAAGGGCAAAAAAACGCAGAGGAACAGAAATTGGTTCGCGGCGTGACTGACAAGGTATAGAAAAACACATGTGGGCGGTTAAAAAAAATTCGCATTCACTTTTAGGTTGAAAACGATGACACGGCTAGAGATGGGTACTTTTCCAACCTCTCGACGGCGTTCGCCTTTGCCTTCGCAGCAGTCGTCGATAATTTGCCCACAATGCCTGCCATTTTGCAGCCACAAAAGCAGCAATCATCCATAGCTGCCAGTGAAGAAGAGGATGATGATTAAAATCTAAACTTATACATAAAATGAATTTTAAAGTTCAGTGTTTTGATTTCAATTATAAAGCTGGTGATCATACAATGAATACAAAGCCAAATTCGAAAGTATGAAGTTAAATTTCTATACATAATCCAAGAACTTTGGTTGTTCTAACATACATATTTTTACAATGTAAAAAATATGATGTAATCTAAAAGATTTATATTCCCAAAAAGACAATTCAGCTGATTATAATTCAAAATTAATGTTATTCAATAAATTTATAACAAAATAAGTTATATTATAATTTTATAAAACAAAATACTCTCCTCAATCTTAAAAGTAAGTTTTAAATTAAATTAAAAAAAAATTAAAATTTAAATGAATCAGTCTGAATAGCTACAAGAGGCTAAAATTATCACTAATCTTAAATAGCCAGTTACTTAAAAAGGTCATTTTTATTCTCCTTTATTTAATTTAAAAACAGATTTCTGTAAGATATACATCATAGAAAAGATGAATTATTAAATATTAAATACATATAATTAATTTTAAAACTAATTTATTAACAATATAATTGAACTTTTTATTGATTGCTCTAATAAAAATAATTTTTGCATAGTTTGGTTTAGGTTTATTTCTAGCTTTTAGGCTGTTCTAAAAATGATGTAACAAATCTTTGGAAAAGAGGTAAAAACAATCGTTTTTAGGCTCGTATAATATAAATCACAATGTCATAATTCGCAAAAATCCATTATCTAAATGGAATGTGGAGTGCATAAAAAATAATTATTTTACAATGTCTAATATACTCATTTTTAGTTATATCAAAAATTTAATAAAAATGGTTCTCCCCCCCCCCCCCCCCTCCTATGTTGGGATATTCCATTTATCCAACAACGAAAATGGTCTTTTTTTTATTTTCCTCCAGACAGGCATGTCGATGCCGATTGGAGTGTAAAAGGATCGCTGGACCCTCTCTCTTTCTATAAATGTGTCCATCAGATTTTGGCACACGTTTGGGGAAAAGAGTCCATTTTTCGTGGCGCAAAACCCACTTCCGAGTGTCGGCCAAAATAAGCAGAGCGGCAAAACACGTTTTCGCCGGGGTTCTCTTTGCTTGATGGCAAAAGCGTCTCGGCCACCCGACAAAACACCTCTTCAGACGCAGCAGGACGTCGCTGCTGCCGACTGGGAGTGTCGCCAGCTATAATAATAGCGAGAAAAACGCACAATGGAGAGGGACGTAGGAGGAATTTCAGACCCCGTCATAGCACCCTCAGGACCAATATCCTCGCAACTTACCATAACCGTCATCTGCGCCGAGCCGCGCTCTTTTTCATACAGAGCAAAATTGTCACCGGCTTCTTTAATATTGAGCACCAAGTTGAGAGGAAAAAAGAGGCCTGATTATTGTTGGGGCGGCCGGCAATTGTTGCACTGGGATGGAAAAGAAGAAGTTCTCTCTTCATCTGGCGGTGGCGAAAACTTCTTTATTGATTAAATATTCCACTCGGGAGAAATTTAATCAGCCACCTCTTCCACTCGTCCCATTTTTCTCTGCGGTCGCTTAATTAATTAATGCCAGAGTTAATCAAGGAGCTCGATTTCAACAGAGAAGCACTCTGTCGCCCGCGCATATTTACATTTTTTGCAAGCGTGTTTGCAGACTTTTCTCATTAAAAGCGACAGTGTCTAGTGTCTCCATTTTGAAGGATAAGAGTGGTGAATGCGTATGCAAATACGTGCTAAGTTAATATTCGCGAGAGGAAAACCCCCTGACGCGAATATTTAATGCAATTTGCGCGATTGGAAAGTTACGACGGCGCATTAATTATATTTCGGCGAAGAAGAGGATTGTAATGAGTTAGGAACAAACTCATTTTAAATTAAAATTTGATCGCAATAATATATTTCTTAAATGAATTTCCTCAATAGTTCGATAGAAAAATTTTTTGATTGCCTCATTAGGCAATTGATCATAAACAGAAGATTAACATCAAACTCCCAAAAAAAATTTTATTCATCAGAGAATAACTTACACTGTTTATAACTAAAAAAAAAACTGCATGTATAATCATATTTTAAATTTTCTATAAAAATGAAATTTTTTAGAAGCAAATATGTTATGTTATTAATTAAATTGTGTATTAAGTAATTAAGTTTACTTTGTAAATAATAATCTATCTCAATCTCTACATGTAACTTTTAATCAATTGTATATATATAATATGAATATTTAAAAAAAATATAAATGATTTTTTTTTATAATTCTACTCTAATGGGATGACAAAATATACTATTTCTGGCCCAAAAGGGTCGTGAGAGGAAATATTCTGGCGAATGGTAGCTGGAAAATTGAACGGCTCAATCACTTCCGAGGAAAAGTTGCCAATCTCCAACAGCTGGTGTTTCCAAGCCATACATGCATTTTTAGAAACACCCAAAAAAAAGCGTGTGTGTAAAAATATAAAACAAGCCACACACGTGCTTCCTTTGCAGGATGGATTGATTAATATCGTGTCTGAACAAGCAGGTGCGTGACACATTCGACTCTGGGAAAATATATTTCAGAAAAGTATTAACAACGGTGGAAATGGGCATGAATTGACCCTCAATGCCCAGAGACTCGCTTTTCCACTAAAAAATAAATATGCCATGTTAGGAACGCAAATACAGAAAGAATGTTTACTGCCGTGCAAGCAACATTCAGCTCGCAATCTGGCCGGACGGAATTCTTGCGAAAAATGTGAGAGGGCGCACATAAAATACAGTTGTGTGAGCGGAAATGTGGAGATTATAATGAAAACAGGGCAATAGACACACATGCGCTCGCCGCTCGCACAAAAAACTGGCCCGACTACATAAAATTAAAAAGGAGCGAGAGAGAGAGAAACGGCTCCACTCTCTTCCTTTCCTGCGCTGGCCTCCCCGGAGAGGGCGAGAGCTTTGCAAAAAGATAGCAGATGCTTTCTCTCCTTTTCTGTTCCACCGTGAAATAAAAACGAGCAATAATTTTTGCGGACTTGAATTAAGTTTTTGTGTGTCTGCCCGCCACCTTCTTTCCTTCTACCCAGCCAGGTGGGTTGTGCATTACAAAATTATTTTGCTGCCAGCTCGCAATTGGATTAGACTCGTGTGTTGTGTCGACTTTGCGCTCAAAGAGTCCCAAATTGGATTCCGCATTACAGTCAGATTTGACTTCTCTGCCAACTCTAATGAGGTTGGAAACTCGGCAAGGGGAAACTGTTGCGAACAAATATTTGCGAGATTTCTTTCTAAATTTAGAAAGGAAAAACCCACCACTGTTTCTCTTTCCAGTCTGGCTAGCACAAAATGAAGTTCTGGAATTCGTATATAAAAAAATATGAAAAGGATACAACTGACCTTAAATATTTTTCAATTCCTAAAAAAAATGACATATCAAATAGAGCAATATAATTTACAGTCATTTAATAATCATCTAAAGGTTTTTTTTAGATTTGATTCCTTGAAATAATTATCGATTATAATATTATTATTTAATAATTTGCTCTGTTATTGAATGATGTCAAAAAAGGAATGTGGCCACAAACATCTTGTTGGACTGGGTATTCTCTAGAATGTTTGTTTTATAATAAAAAGTTCAATTTGAGATTTTGATCTCCTGTATTTTTTGAAAAAAAATCTTGATCTTTTGGCTGCTATGTTTGTTTGGCAGTTTTTTATACTTTATTTGATTTTTTTTTATTGAAATTGACAATTGTCTGGCACGAAATAGATTTAACAAAAATAAAATTTCTGGTGGAACAGGATCACATCATATTATTTTTATTCTTTAAATAACGGTTTCATTTCAATACAAAGCCTCAACTAAGCTTTCAATTTAATTATTTTCTTCTAAAGAAAAAAAATACACACTTTGTTGACAAATTGATATTGCATGGGATGCTTAACGTTGTTGACTAGGCTCATAAAGCTTGAGTGCAGCTAACCTTTGCAGCCTGTTAATCTGCCCTGTTCCGCGGCAAGCGTTCTAAATACACGTTTTAGCGTCGACGAGATTCGCTCTTTGTGAATATAAAGTTTAACAAGCGATACAAAACACACACTGCACAAGAATGTATCTATTATGTATCGCGCGCGTCCAAGTCTGAGGGAAGGTCTTTAAAAAGGCTCTCGTCGATACCGAGCGCTCTTTATTACTTATGCAACGTGCAACTCTTTAGTGCCGAGCAGGTTGCATTGGCCATCTCAAGCGCTAACAACTTGATAGAGAGGCGCAGCACCACTTCTTGTGAAAAAAGTCAAGAATGCCGAGAACGCTGTTAATAAAAGGTTATCTACAGCTTTACACTGTTGGCGAGCGTAAACTATTCTTGCTATCTCGGTGCCGTAAACAGAAAAAGAAAGTTTTAATATTAATGTTTGGCGAGGGCATAAAAATGCTTTTTCTTCAGAGAGGCTGTTAATGCGTGCTCGTTTGTTACGCTCCGTGTTTGTTGCGAGATATTTCCAAGCAAAAGTGAAGGCGAACGAACGGTAATCCGGGGAGCATTAAAGTTATGGATGGGCACGAGTCGCAGATTGTGATCTCTTCCCTCGATCATGAAACCCTATCTAAATGCAAATAGAATCACACAGCGGCAGACAGAGCGAGAGTAGAGGCGGTGGCATCAAAGCTGCCAACCCGACTAATGGCCTAGCTCCTCTCTCTCGCACACAACCAGCCCGACTTTTGATGATTATACTTTAGAAAAGCGAAATGCCCTCACAGTAGTGTTTCGGAATAAAAGGCGCTCACTAAAAGTGTCGGCCTTTGTGTTTTGCCTAAAATACAGGCGCAATTGCTGTTTTCTGACGACGTCCTCAGATATCGTCAATGGCCTGCGCTTGTGTATCTTATTGTATTTTCTGTCTCGATGGGCGCATTTTAAACGTCTGGCTAGAAATTTGGGAATAAAAATAGAAATTCAGAGCATTTTTTCCATAAAAAGTATAATTTAATGTTTAAAACTTTTAGTTTACTATCAAATTGAAATTATTTTCAGTTGTTAGTTCTTCAACATAAATTTTATAATTTTGAGGAGAAAACCACTTTGTCATGTGGTAATAAGAAAATCTGATTAATTTTATCTTACAATTAGTCAAATTAATATTTCCAAGGCTTAATTGTAAGAATTGAGAAATTAAATATTATAGCAAAATTAAATTCTTCTGAAGTATTTAAAGATGATACCTACTTTATGATAGTTTTTCACGTTATAAAATTAAGCAATTAAACGAAATATTTTAGATGTATTCTGCTGGTAAAATAAATCAATTCCCGGGTCAAAGTGACCTCTGACCTATCCACAGTTCGTAGTGAACAAAGTAAGATGCATTGCTCTTTCTGAATTGGAACAACCGTCTGCAAGCATCAAAGACACACTGGGTTGCTGGAATAACTATTGGAAAAGCATGCGAATTGCGTGGAAATGTACAGGTTGGCTAGAGTTCATCAGGTTACAAATAACCTGGGAATTGAACTGAAATAAAAAGTTAAGTCTTGATTTATAATTAAGAAAAAAAAAACAGATTAACTGATTTTTTTCTAATTTTAATTTTAATCTTTTCAAGTTCAAATTTTTCGTCAAGTTATTCTAAATATTTGAGGTTTATTCATTTGAACCAAGGTTATTGTAATTTCAGGCTTAATTAACAAAGAAACACGCGGCTAATTTGTCTGCTTACCTTTAATTTGCTATGCCAGCTGAGCAAACAGCACAGGTTCAATCTGAAACAAACAATTGAAAAAGGGGGTTAATTTCCAACTGGTTGCCCATTCACGGCTCAACGGGGAATAAATTTGGAAACGAGGCTAACATGTTTTTGTTATGCGAAATCAGGGAGCGCGTGAGGCATAAAAACAAGTCTGGCCCACCGTGAATTATGCAACTTTTAATCAAGCCTCCACAACTCTTCCTTTTACAACCAGGCCTAATAGGCCATTAAGCATGAAATCTGCAAAACGCACACATGCCGATGCATATGATACGAACAAACGCCTCCAGATGAGGCAAAAATTTAGAGCTAAAAACTAGTGGTGCCTCTCTGCGGCAGTGTGTGTTTGTAATGACTGCGGCATATCCCTATCAACGACGGACAAATAAATTCAAATGTTGGCCGAAGCTGTCAGGCGGCAATTTATTTGTTTGCACCAAGCGGCGAGTGCTGACGAGAGGGAGCGGGTTACAACGGCCGCAACCGCCACAATTTCGAATTGAGCGAAATTTTCGCCGCATCGGCGAACGGACGAAAACTTGATTAGCTCGGTTTTTAGTCTGAAATAATCGCTCCCTCATGCCTCCACTCGGTGTAATTACATTTGGATCCCGATCGCTTTTAGAGTATTATGCAATCGAAAATTTCCATTTGACTTCATTTCAATTTTATCTTTATTAATGGGCCGAAACATTTAAAATTCAATCACGAGTTTGCATATCACAGATGGAATTTTTAAATTTATCACAATTTTATGAAAAGTGAATTTTTTTTTTTTTTTTTTAAATATATGGGTGAAAAAATATATTTTCAATTTTTATCTGTAAAAATGTTTCAATGACCTTCTGATTGCTCAGTGATGTGAAAGCAGAAATTCATATATAGAGGTTGGATGAATCATTTCAATCATTTTATTTTGCCTCTGTGCGAGTGATTGAGTCTCACACGATCTGAAAACGAGGCCACACGCTGCATTAAATGCAGATGCGACGCGAGCTCTGCACTATTTCGTTTCCAACCTATTTATCAGATCGAATAATGGCGCACGGCCGATTTAAATTGTATGACGGCCAGAGCTTCTTTTCCTTACATCTATTCAAAGAGATCAAAGTCCGCCCTGGCGTGCGAGTAAATATATTCAAGAGCTTCTTTCTTCACCGACTCGGCTACTCGTATATTCATATAAAAATGTGCATAATTTGCTACAAGACTTCATGACTAATGCACTTCTGTACTCCTTTTCTTGCCATCCGTTGTCTGCCTGCAAAATTCACAATGCACGCCTTTTCTAACAGCATTCAAACGGAATGATGCGATGTGCTTTTACAGCAAAAATGAGGAAATGAATGGAAAATTTAAGAAAAAAAAAACCATTCAAATTGGCGAGTAACTGAAAATTGTAAATAAGTTATTTATAATTATTTTTCCACGAGTCCATTAAATTTATCGTGTTTATAAATAAGGCTATAATGATATTTATGATTGAAGTTGAAAAAACTTATGTGCAGTTTTTGAAATATGTAGCGTGCTTACTTTGAGACACTATTTAATTATATGAGACTTGAAAATTTGATAACTTTAATTGCAATGACAATTTTCTTTAACTTTCCTCAAATTAACCAAATTTTATCACAAATTGAATTACACATATTGTGATATTAATGTAAAACATAGAAAATTATCATTTTAATAGATTAGAAAAACTCACTCTTTTAAATATATCCTGAAAAATGTTTTTTATCATTATAAAAAATTTATGAGTTCTAAATATTTGAGAATAAAAATGACCCCCTCCGACCTTGTCACAAAGGATACTATTTTTATTATTATTATTTTGAAACATTATTTTAAAATTTTAATTTATCACCTGCTACCTGGGACTACTAACTAAATTTTGGGTCAAGAGATCAATTTAATTAATTGAAAATTCGCTTTCTTCACACAAAAATCCCAAAATCCATTCTAAATGAGCTCAAACATCGCAACACATGCAAAACCAAGATAAAGAATGTGCATAATTAAAATGTAATTAAAGCGATTCAGAGCTTGCGGGGCTAAACGTGCATGACTGGATTTCACAGAAAAATGGCTCAATTTTCAGGCTCACCGCGTTTTGCGGCCGCGGGGCCACCGCACGCATCGACGCAGCGATTTTGCGCATAATTAATCCCGTCCGCCGCCGGGGGCCGCATTTCGCGCGACTGTTTGCGAAGAATTTTCCGGTGCATTTACTTGGTTAGCACATGCCATCATTAAAGCGGCGTTACCTGACACACGCGGCAGCTGCGGCCACTTCAGCATTCCGCCGAGTCGTCCGGATAAATTATCATCATTTGCGACCCTCGCTGCAATAAAACAAACGTCGCCGCCGTTTTTCTCCGCCGTACGTGAAATGTTTTCCGCGCATTCACCGTGTTTTATTGTGCAAACACGGACGTGCAAGTCGACACATTTCAAAATCCCTGCTGCTCAATTTAGGTGCAGCTGCAAAAATTGTTATATTGCACTACTTTTGCTGTTTGGAAGCATTGCCGGCCGCCATAAACCGGGCACCATTTTTACTGCAAATGTATGCAAGTGCCATAAAAGCAAAACAGCAGCTCTCGGTCATACTTGCATGCGAAGGTTGCATGTTTTATTCATATGGGGAGTGCCAGCGGCTCTCTCCCAAATCGCAGATAATCGCCCCTGTTCCAATGTGTTTGCATAAAAATGGTTGCTATTAACTTGCAATTTCGGCCGCTCCACCACAACCATAAATCAACGGGCAGTCGACGCCATAAGGGAGACAAAAAGCAATTTGAAAATACAAACGAAGTATGATAAAAAAATTCAAAGCACCTAACTTTTGCGTAGCAATTAAAATAGTTTTCAGAAACTTGAATTTATACCCTGATAACTATTTCAACAGTTTTGATTGCTTATATTTTTATTAACTTAAACATTTTCTTTAGTGATTACTTTATACTTCTCGAAAAGTTACGACTAAAATGGTATCATAATAGTATCATTGTTTTATTTTTATTAAACTACTCGAATTGTAGCATTTATTGCACACTGCGAATGTACTCTAGAATCTTCTAAAATCAATAAAGAAGATACAAAATTAGATAAATAAATAAATCAAGAATCATATTTTTAGGATATCTTTTCTAATTTCTCTCGTAATTTATTACTCAATATACTTTGAGCTTATTTATGACCAAACTCATTCCACAAACTGTGCAACATTTATTTATATAATTCTTTAGAACAAAGGCGCACAATTAAAGCGTCCCATATCAATCAAACGCCAGACTGCCTGCTCATCACGCCTGAAATATTGAATTATTAATACATATTAATAAAATAGTATCTTAGAGTATGTTTTTTACGAAGAGCTTTTATTTCTGAGTATTTACGCAATAAAAATCTCTCTCCTTCTTTTAGCCGCCAGGTTTATAGCGAACAACAATGCCCAAGATGAAATATGATTCACGTTATCTCCGTTCGCATCCGCAGGTAGTGCGTTTTTTGCATCACAGAAATGGTACATAAATAAAGAACGGAATAATAATTTTTATACCATATTTTTCTTGCTTGTGGTTGAACAATGCGATTTCGGCTGATTTACATTCAATGCGGAGGAAGGCAAGCGAGCAGAAACTCTCTCTTCTACAAATATGTTTTATCTCTTTGGCCAGGGACGCCGCCTTTTTGCGACGGGGACGCAGTGCGCACACCGTGCCAAAGGTTGTTATCTCGGTCATTCGCCGGCGTCGGCGGCTTCCCTCTGCTGTCTAATTTTGATGCTCCGCTTAACAAAAGAGCGCAGTGAATAACGAGCTATATCTGATTGGTGTCGCTAGCTGCTGCAAAACTTGGCCGGGCACCAATCAAACAAAGTACAGAGAATAAAAACACTGGCCTCTCTAATCAAAGCGAATTTGTGCCATGTCACTCGAGTTTACACGGAGGAATTTGCGTCATTTGTTTGTAAAAGGCTTTCCTAGAGTTAAAATGCCATGTCAAATAAAACAAATCACCAGAACTGCCTGATTTCATTATTTACCATTTGCTTAACAAGTAACGTCAGCTATAAATCGGATCCACTGATTTTGTTTAAAACAAGTTTACTTTTTTACAAGAGGCTAATGTTCAGCTAGATTTACAGTAGAATATAAACAAATTAATTCAGTTTCTATTTAAATAGGAAAGCTTAGGAATAAGATGGAGCGATTATACCTATAATCAAATATAATTTCGATGGAACAACCAAAATAATTCAATTTTGAAAACAAACTTGTGTTGAAATTAAAGCAGATAATAATAAATAGTTGCTGAACTGAAATATAGAAATAGAAGTATATTGAAATTTGCAATCCTTGAAACCCCTCTTTTTTCGCTGTTCTCATATAAATTCCAAAATTAATTAAATTAACCACTCAAAAAGCTACAATTTGTCTCAAAAAAGGAAGTTTTCGCTTTGATGTAATTAATACATCATCTTACTTCACAGTAAGTTTTCGTTGATTCTGAAGCACTGTTTGTCTTGTAAATTGATCGACTCCGTCAAAGGGCAATCCCTCTGCTTTGCCTTTGGAGTCTACTCGTCATCTCACATAACAGAATAGCAGCCCATTTCGACTTAAGACAAACTTGCAGCCGCGTACCAAAGCACACTGCAATCTCGCGCTGATTTGCTCATTGTGCCGAGAGAGAGCGAAACAAATTAATTCCCTCTCTGTTCTCTTTCAATTCCGCACATATAGACAAACTTTGAAGTCTGAAAGCAAGGAGGGTCTAATCCTATTTTCAATCGTGCCAGGACCATCATTAATACGGTCCCTTTGTGCCATTTGTTCTTTTCAGGAGTTTGAAGTGGCGCGCAAATTCAGGTGACATTCGACACACGTGAGATTGAATAAAAGATGGGGCTCCACGCACGGGTTCATTACACACCTCTTTCTCTTTCGACACACTTCCTAGCAACACCCAATTTCGTCTCTCTTTGCTCACTCTCGGAACAACGAA